ATGGATACTGGGGCGTGTGAAGCCCCCTTCCCCCACTGTTGTCTCCCCTTCCCTGCCGAAGGCCAGGTCAAAGGTGAGTCATAGGCAATAATGGGGACCAGGGGGCAGTGGGGGGGTGCAGTGAAGGGCTGGGGGGGTGCAGTGAAAGTGTAGGGGGGTTGCAGTGAACACTGCAGTAAATGGTGTATTGGTGTGGGAGGGTGCAGTGAGGTCACAGGGAAGGGTGGAACTGGGCAGGGGAACAGTGGAGTCAGTTGAGGTCAGGCCAGTGGGGTGAGGTTATAGCACATAATGCAGTGCGGTGGGTGGGAGGCAGTGTGCACAGTGGAGTCAGAGTGCAGGTGCAGTGGGGGTGGGGCAGGGGCAGTGGAGTGGAGTCAGGTCATAGCACAGGGCGCAGTGGTGACAGGGCGTGCAGTGGGATCATAGTGTCAGTGCAGTGGGCAAGGTTGCAGTGCAGGTGCAGTGAGGGCACAGTGTGACAGGGGGACTCACAGTATAGGTGGAGGATGAGGACAGTGGCGGGGGGTCATAGGGCACCTGCAGTGCTGGTCACAGTGCAGGCGCAGTGGGAGGGCAGGGGACTTGCAGTGCAGGGGCAGTGAGGATGGGAGCCAAAGCACAGGGCAGTAGGATTGCAATGCAGGGGCAGTGATGACTGGGGTCACAGTGTAAGGGCAGTGGGGGCAGGGGTCACAGTGCAGGGGTAGTGAGGGTGGGGCAATGGGGTCATAGTACAGGACAGTAGTCACAATGCAGGGGCAGTGGGGGCAAGGGTCGCAGTGCATGGGTAGTGGGGGTAGAGGTCACAGTGCAGTGAAGACAGAGCAGTGGGATCACAGTGCAGGGGCAATGGGATCATAGTACAGGGGCAGCAGGATTTCAGTGCAGGGGCAGCAAGGATGGGGATGCAATGCAGGGGCAATGAGGATAGGGGTCACAGCCCAGGGGAAGTGGAGCGATGCCATAGGGGTAGTGAGGACTGGGGTCACAGTGTGCGTGCAGTAGGGTGGGAGCAATGGGGTCACAGTGCAGGGGCCATGAGGACAGGGTAGTGGGGGTCCCAGGACGGGGGCAACGCAGGGCCAGGGCCAGGGCCAGGCCCAGGGCCAGGGCGGGGTGCATTGCACTGTAGGTCCCTCCCCCTCCCGCCATCATCGCTTCCTCCTCACGCAGCGTCTGTTTATCTCCCTCCCATTTCCATCCATGCCCCCCGCCCCCCCCATACCCTCCTCCCACCCCGCCCG